ATAGCTCATACTTTTTTTGGACGATTTTTTTGACCCCACCATTTTCCAGTTGTTTTGTATTCCATCACAAGAGTCCTCTGCAAATTGATAAATGCCACATTAACGGTGCGTACGCACCACTCCCTCCCCTCCCCCCACCAAATCACCAAAGGTCCACATTTTCAGGAGTAGAAAATTCAAGACACTCTCACACGTTCCAGAAATCCATCCACCAAAACTCCTTGACCAATTTAGGACTGCCTCTAATTTGTCGTACAAACAAGACTTTTAACTGCATTTATAAGCTTTTTCATGAGGAATTTGAGTGTTTTTCCCTGCCGCTTGCGTGTCAATAACGCGCCACGTACTCAAAACTCCGATCTCTATTCTTTTTATAGGTTTCACTAGAAATTTCTATATTGTTAAATTAAATTCGCGAGTGCCATTTTCGGCCACCTGAGGTGCATAATCATAGATTTTCTTACCTCAGCCCAACCATGGTGGGCTGAGGTGTTATAGATCCCAGTGATGGATTCAAGGCGAGCTGATCCGTGGGCCTCAAAAAGTTGGAGAAAAATCAAAACACAGTAATCAGCCGATTCTGAAATTAAAACTTTAGAAGTTTTACGTTCTGTGGCACCTACAGCTGCTTTAAAAAAAAGTGATTTCTATTTATTATTATTCAAAGTCTCGCTCTTTGGCTAGAGTTTATATAGAAACGCCCTCTACACATTTCAATTGTTCCATATTCATCATTTGCATTTCAGTAGCCTTTATTTTTATATGAAATTTAATACTGATAAGATAATACTGAATGTTCATTAAAATTACTAAAAATTATTGTAAACAATAAGGCAAAAAAAGCAATTCCGTTGTACAATAATACAATAAATATGCCTAATATATCCTCGTTGATTGCTTCTGCAGGTAATAACACCAATACAATACGTACAATTGAACCAAATATATTCTAATCACAAGCGAGTGTTAAACACCTGACTCTCTCCCTGACGGGTTCCGGGGTCGACGAGGCTTCTTGTCGGTAATACGCCGGTAACCCTACGCTGAGTCTGGGCTCGGGCCTTGGCGAAGACCCGGTCCTTGGCGAGGTTGAGTACTTAGCCTTGCGGCATCATTGATGATTGCTTGGCGGTGATACTTGACAGGACTAGGCGATTAACAGACTGCAGGGGAGATGCACAGGGAGTCTCGGTCAACTGACAGGCACTCGGGATGGCATGCTAGGTTCAGTGCATCATCATGGCTTAGGGGTCGCACTGCTTCCTCCCTCCGTTCAGTTGGCTGGGGCCGAGCAAGTAGTTCCATCGTGCATTTAAGTAACCAGCGTACGAGGAGCGAAAACTTGAATACTAAAGAACAGAACACACTTACTTGCAACTTGTGGGAATTATGTTAGTGTTAGTGTGGGAACTAATTTTATGTTTAGGTTTGGTATGTGTGTTAAGTTATTGGTTAGGGTTAGTGTTGGAATTAAGAGATGCCCTTTATCTAAAATAAAAACTACTAAAATCATGTTTATAAATAAATGTTTTAAAACACACAACTTATGAATATGAAACAATTGTAGGCCTACATTTGTAGAGGGTACTTCTATCTGAACTTTATAATTTATAATATTTCTCTGCAGATCGATACTAATGCCACTTAAAGCATATTTTTTTACCCCGCCATTTTCCAATTGTTTCGTATTCCATGACACCTACAGATCACAAGAGTCCTCTGTAGGTTGATATATGCCACATAAATCCTCGTTTTAAGCTTAAATAACGATAAATAAGATGATATTCAATTAGGCCCATGTGGCCGAATTTATGAAAAATGACCAGGTTAAAAATTGCCGATTTTCGTAAAAGCCATGAGCTATAGCTCATACTTCTTTTTGGACGATTTTTTTGACCACGCCATTTTCTAGTTGTTTCGTATTCCATGACACCTACAGATATCACAAGAGCCTTCTGTAGGTTGATAAGTGCCAATTAAATCCTCCTTTTAAGCTTAAATAACGATAAATCGGATGATACTCAATTAGGCCCATGTGGCCGAATCTAGGAAAAACGACCAGGTTAAAAAATGGCCAATTTTGGTTAAAACCATGAGCTATAGCTCATACATTTTTTTTGGACGATTTTTTTACCCCGCCATTTTCCAGTTGTTTCGTATTCCATGACACCTACAGATCACAAAAGTCCTCTATAGGTTGATAAATGCCACTTAAATCCTCGTTTTAAGCTTAAATAACGATAAATCGGATGATACTCAATTAGACCCATGTGGCCGAATCTAGGAAAAACGATAAGGTTAAAAATTGGCCAATTTTCGTAAAAACCATGAGCTATAGCTCATACATTTTTTTGGACGATTTTTTTTGACCACGCCATTTTGCAGTTGTTTCGTATTCCATGACACCTACAGATCACAAAAGTCCTCTGTAGGTTGATAAATGCCACATAAATCCTCGTTTCAAGCTTAAATAACGATAAATAAGATGATATTCAATTAGGCCCATGTGGCCGAATCTAGGAAAAATGACCAGGTTTAAAATTGGCCGATTTTCGTAAAAACCATGAGCTATAGCTCCATGGCACCTACAGATCACAAGAGTCCTCTACAGGTTGATAAATGCCACTTAAATCCTCGTTTTAAGCTTAAATAGCGATAAATATGATGATATTCAATTAGGCCCATGTGGCCGAATCTATGAAAAACGGCCAGATTGAAAAACGGCCAGATTAAAAATTGCCGATTTTCGTAAAAACCATGAGCTATAGTTCATACTTTTTTTTGGACGATTTTTTTGACCCCGCCATTTTCTAGCTGTTTCGTATTCCATGACACCTACAGATCACAAGAGTCCTCTGTAGGTTGATAAATGCCACATGAATCCTCGTTTTAAGCTTAAATAGCGATAAATAAGATGATATTCAATTAGGCGTATGTGGCCGAATCTAGGAAAAACGACCAGGTTAAAAAATGGCCAATTTTGGTTAAAACCATGAGCTATAGCTCATACATTTTTTGGACGATTTTTTTTTACCACGCCATTTTGCAGTTGTTTCGTATTCCATGACACCTACAGATCACGAAAGTCCTCTGTAGGTTGATAAATGCCACATAAATCCTCGTTTTAAGCTTAAATAACGATAAATCGGATGATACTCAATTAGACCCATGTGGCCGAATCTAGGAAAAACGATAAGGTTAAAAATTGGCCAATTTTCGTAAAAACCATGAGCTATAGCTCATACATTTTTTTGGACGATTTTTTTTACCACGCCATTTTGCAGTTGTTTCGTATTCCATGACACCTACAGATCACAAAAGTCCTCTGTAGGTTGATAAATACCACTTAAATCCTCGTTTTAAGCTTAAACAGCGATAAATAAGATGATATTCAATTAGGCCCATGTGGCCGAATCTAGGAAAAACGACCAGGTTTAAAATTGGCCGATTTTCGTAAAAACTTTTTTTTGGACGATTTTTTTTACCCCGCCATTTTCTAGTTGTTTCGTATTCAATGACACCTACAGATCACAAGAGTCCTCTGTAGGTTGATAAGTGCCACATGAATCCTCGTTTTAAGCTTAAATAGCGATAAATAAGATGATATTCAATTAGGCCCATGTGGCCGAATCTAGGAAAAACGACCAGGTTAAAAAATGGCCAATTTTGGTTAAAACCATGAGCTATAGCTCATACTTTTTTTTGGACGATTTTTTTGACCCCGCCATTTTCCAGTTGTTTCGTATTCCATGGCACCAACAAATCACAAGAGTCCACTATAGGTTGATAAATGCCACTTAAATCCTCGTTTTAAGCTTAAATAACGATAAATCGGATGATACTCAATTAGACCCATGTGGCCGAATCTAGGAAAAACGACCAAGTTAAAAATTGGCCAATTTTCGTAAAAACCATGAGCTATAGCTCATACATTTTTTTGGACGATTTTTTTGACCACGCCATTTTCCAGTTGTTTCGTATTCCATGACACCTACAGATCACAAGAGTCCTCTATAGGTTGATAAATGCCACTTAAATCCTCGTTTTAAGCTTAAATAACGATAAATATTATGATCTTCAATTAGGCCCATGTGGCCGAATCTATGAAAAACGGCCAGATTAAAAATTGGCCGATTTTCGTAAAAACCATGAGCTATAGCTCATACTTTTTTTTGGACGATTTTTTTTACCCCGCCATTTTCTAGTTGTTTCGTATTCCATGACACCTACAGATCACAAAAGTCCTCTGTAGGTTGATAAATGCCACATAAATCCTCGTTTTAAGCTTAAATAGCGATAAATAAGATGATATTCAATTAGGCCCATGTGGCCGAATCTATGAAAAACGACCAGGTTTAAAATTGGCCGATTTTCGTAAAAACCATGAGCTTTTCGTAAAAACCAAAACTTTTTTTGGACGATTTTTTTGACCCCGCCATTTTCTAGTTGTTTCATTTCATTTTTTTTTTATTTATTTATTAGACACAAAGGTCCTGGGACTTCTAAAGAAGCAATAGCCTCTGTGACTCAATGAGTCAGAAGTCCCAGCAAAACACCAAAAACATCAAAAATATTTACAATATATTAAGTTAAAATTTGTAAAAAGTAACAAAAAAATATAAAAATTATATCTACATCTGAATGCTAAAAAGATACGATTTGAACCTCTTTAAAAAAAACTTTTAGGTTACAATTTACAGCATCGTCTTTAATTCGGTTTGGAAGGGATGACCAATACACAGGAAATGAATGAATAGATGAATGTTTAAGTGCAACGGTGCGGGCAAATGGATGAATGAAAGTAAGATTATTTGGATGACGAGAATTGATAACTATATTATTGATTGCACTGCAGATGTTATGTTTGTAAAAACATCGAAATACAAAATTTCGTATTCCATGACACCTACAGATCACAAAAGTCCTCTGTAGGTTAATAAATGCCACATAAATCCTCGTTTTAAGCTTAAATAACGATAAATCGGATGATACTCAATTAGACCCATGTGGCCGAATCTAGGAAAAACGATAAGGTTAAAAATTGGCCGATTTTCGTAAAAACCATGAGCTATAGCTCATACTTTTTTTTGGACGATTTTTTTGACCCCGCCATTTTCTAGTTGTTTCGTATTCCATGACACCTACAGATCACAAGAGTCCTCTGTAGGTTGATAAATGCCACATAAATTCTCGTTTTAAGCTTAAATAGCGATAAATAAGATGATACTCAATTAGGCCCATGTGGCCGAATCTAGGAAAAACGACCAGGTTAAAAATTGGCCGATTTTCGTCAAAAACCATGAGCTATTGCTCATTATATTTTTTGACGATTTTTTCGAACCCGCCATTTTCCGGTTGTTCTGTATTCCATGACACCTTCAGATTATGAGAGTCCTCTACAGGTTGATAAATGCCACGTAAAGCCTATTTTTAAGCTTAAATAACAATAAATCGGATGATTAAGCCCGGCCGAATCCGGGAAAAACGACAATTTTTGGGAGAAACCATGAGCTCTTAGTTTTTTTTTTTGACAATTTTTTTTCTTCACCATTTTCAGGTTGTTAAATTGTAAGGCCACCAATTTGTGACAATGTTATACTACGATGAATTAAGAAAACACAATGTCACCGGGAACGTCGCAGTACAAGCTTTTAATTCAAAGTGAAGTTACAAATTTTCGAAATTTTGCCTGAAATCTGTAAACCACGAGGTCGCTTCCCCGATCAAGATGTATTCCAAGCATCATGAGGATACCCAAACGAGCATTTGTCATAGTAGAACGTAAACCATTTTTAATTAGTCCCATTGAACAGGGGCGGATCCAGAATTTTTCAAACTGGGGGAGGGGCATTTGTATATTTTTTATTTCAATACATAACATTAATATGCACTGACATTTTAACAATAGTGTCAAAACGCTGTTTTGACACTTGACACTGTTCGGCTGACTTACGTTACAATAGATGTTTGAACGTAATTAATTTACATTGAAGAATGAATATATATGTTGCTTCGAACCCAACGAACCCCCCTGGTAATTCAAAGTAATATACGGTAGTCGGATAACTTAAAATAAACGTGAATTTATGTTATTATTATTATTATTGTTGTCGTTTTTGTTATTATAGTGATGAAAAGTTAACACAAACGGTACACAAATAGGTCAATGAAGGCAATATGGTTGCTAAACGAACAGATATGTAAATATGTAAATATTGTTTTTATTTTTTTTAAATTTTATTCCCCGACGAAATGTATTCGACTTCCCGGACCGGGGGGGGGGGGCGCTAGGCCTCTCCGAGGAGGGGGATATAGATCCCAGCCCCCCCCCCCCACAACCCACCTCTGGCGCCACACCTGTGCTACCTACACTCAATTATATCACAAAAATCGTGAATATTTTCATGATTCTAGAATCAGAAATCAAAAGATAGCGTTGTCAAATGCAAGCAGAGTGGTGATGGATTTGTTATGTGACGGTCATACAAGCCCAAAAAGTAAGGAGATGCAAGAGGTCCGACTTTCCGTGTTTCTTTGGATCGAAATCCTATTTCAAAAGTAGGCTCCCACCTTTCTTTGTATTGTGTTAGCAAAAAGTACTACAAGGACCTAGAGGTCGTCCTTTAAAAGGCGAGTTTCAACCATGTTCGAATTCTAATAGAGCGCCCCCTATCTGGTGGTAGTATATTTTTTTAACGTTTTGTGTGCATTGTGTGACAGCTTAAGAAGACAGTTGACAAAGTATAATTTTAAGCATTTAGTTTTTGTTGTGCACTAACATAGACTGAGATATAAAGGGCTCTCAACATACTCATTTCATTAACAGTTTCTACAAATCTGATTATTACTTAGGGACGGATCCAGTAGGGGGCACGGAACATGTGCCCCAACCCCCTCAAAATTAAAAAAAATTTCAATGCAAATCAATGTTATGTGCTACTCACTTACCTATTCTGAACTGTTGTGACCCCCTGTTCGAAAAATTCTGGATCCACCCCTGTGACCTACGTATAAAGAGAACTGTATTACACAGAATACCCAAATAGCTTAGTCAGACAAGACTAGATAATGGTTTTAATGTATCCATTTTTAAATATTTCAAAAAATCATTCCAGATTCAGTATATATGTATAGCCCCAGCATGGAATGGGAGAAGCACTGGGTTTGGATATACCCAATATACAGACTTGTATACAATACACTGTAAAGTCGGGCACACACTGATTGTTGGCCGATGTTATTCCACGCAGAACACAACCCGACGATGCACACCCCACCGATCGTTTTGCATGATGACCCACTCAGTCTGGCAACATCATTCAACAGACAGCTTCACACTGTCAAGCACTTATTTACGGAGAGCAGAGATGGATTCGTCAGCCAATGGTCATACAACATTGGTTTTCAATATATTTAAGCAAATAACTCCAAAAGTACACTAAAAATGTTTCCAAGTGAACATGTATATATACTCCAGTAAGGCCAAAAAAAAATTGTTTGTGCTGGCCACGTTTTGGGAAAATAAAAAAAAATGTATAGGTCAGTAGGAAAAGCTTTTTTTAAAACCAAAAATGTGTTTACGCTTAAAAGGTATAAAATACACAAAATAATACAATTTTGGATTCACATCGCGTACCATGCACCAAAATAGGATAGGCATTGGCCTCCTAGCCTAGTTCAAGGCTATTTCAGACAGCCCTATTAGCTCATGAAAAAAATATTGATCCTTGTAGTAAAAAAAAAACAAAACTAAAATGCCGACCCCCGAGCTTCATAATATTTGGGTCGGTAGGGTGTGGCCTACAAAATATTTTTTTTTATTTGGCCTAATGAGTATTAAGTATTTGTATACATAACATTGATTCAGGATTAATGGTTCTGATTAAACAGAATAGTGGTGGTAAACTTCTATTCTATAATCAAAATTGATTTTTTTTTGCAACATTAATGCCCAAAACCAGCTCATCATCCCAGTAATATTATTACATTAATGAACATACATCATCAGAACATTCAACATTTAACATATTACTCATATGCATATGTTTTATATATTTTCTTGTTTTAAATCAATGATAAACAAATAAAATAAAATAGGCAAACTATTGGCCTAAATAGTACTTAAATTGAAATTATTAACCATACTAAAAAGTTCCATATTTAATTCAATACTTAACATAAGTAAGCATGACTCAGTAAACTTAAGTGAATAAGTAACAAAAATAAACACAATAATAAACATAAATCAACTAAAAACATCTATAGCTGAATAAATTAACCAACTGAATAAGTAACAATATTAAACACAATAACATAAATTAATTAAAAACCATCCATAACTGGACAAGTTAGCCAACATAACTGAATAAGGAAACATACTTACTGTAGCTTAAGTATATCAAACTGCATAGCATTGCAAAGTTAGATCATAATCTTACAAATTATGGTAAATGGATTAAAACGGAGAAACACTGACACAAACATCACCATTAAATTATCAACACAACAAAAAATGCAGCTAATTTTTAAAAATTTTCATTTGGAAAAACAAAAAAACTCAATAATAATGCTTAATATGGTTGCTAATGTACAACATCACTGTCAGCATATGTCCTATGTTATCTACATTAATGTACATAAACATTACAAATTTAAACATTAACAGGCTCATAAAGTATTTTAATATTAGCTTCAGCGATTTACACCACAAGCAGAAGAATTAAATCCTTCTCAAACAATTTTCTTTCCAAGTAAAAAATAGTGTCAAACAAACATTAACCAAAATAAATATTTTCCGTAAATTTATTCCATTTAAACTTAACATATCCAAGTATTGATAAGCAAGCTACATTTAATTACATACTCGAATACAATAGGTTTTTTTTTGTACATAACATGGTAAAGCAGTTTTTTTTTGTACATAACATGGTAAAGAACTTTCCAGACTATCATATTTTATTCAACAAAAAACATGACATGCCTAAATATGGTCATGATGACATCACATCATGACCATATATAGGCACATCATGACTATATATGGGCAAATTTGATAGTGTGGACAGAGTTTAAGCAAGTAAACATTGCACTTGAGTTTGGTTTCCTTTTTACATGAGACAAGTTGATCAATTAATTAATTAATTAATAATTTTCAAAAACACAAACCTCCTGTACAGAACACATTTAAGCGTATTCAAGAAACCACAATATAAGCATATTTGCAGTAATTAATTTGACACAGTTCTATCACTACAACCTCTACACCAATATCACCATTCTCATCACATTTAAATCAATTTCATCAACATAAATCATTAGGTCACCATCACACTATTAAACATAATGCAAAATAAACTTCCAATACTGAACAAATATTAAGTCAAGCGCCCTCTATCTTTGTGAGCAACAATCAATATTATGTCAAGTTCTTTAATTTAAAACAAGTCTAGCGCCCTCTATTCAAGTGTCGAATTGACTTTAACATGAAAAGACATATAATTCAATATATATATAACACATTCTTTCTCTTGCAAAAAAAAAAAACTTTTTCATTCAGTGTCTTAGTTTTCAAGGTTCTTGTGCACTGTACAAGGCAGTACACATCATCATAATCACCATCTTAATCATTACAAGTATTTCATCATCAAAATCATCATCAATAACAATAACAAAATCTCACAAAAATAGATGAAACCCAGACTAAACAGGGCAAATTAATGATACAATAAAATGATTACTGATGATAAAAATTATATTTATATAGAATTTGTATTAAATCCTAAAAAAATGTCAACCTTTTATAATTTTATAAAGATGTGGGAAAATGAGGCTATGGTAACAATTACCATGCCAACAATTAACATTACCATGGCAACTGTTAACCACGCCAAAGGTAAATATTAGCGGTGCTTACACTGTAATTCCGAGACAACAAATAAAGTTGATGTTGATTCTGATTCATTAACCCTGTCATAGTAACCTTCATATTACCATGCCAACATGAAACAGCCTTTATGACATCACTGATTTTTTCACAAATGTATTCATTACTATTCTATGTTATAAGTACTTCAAAGGTTAAATCTTTGATACATGCGATAACAAACCCCTTAGATTACCTTTGACCTTTGTGGAGCTGTTTGTGTTTGACCTTTGCAAACCTGAAGACCTTTGACCTGTATAGAGCTGCAACAAGCTTTCTTGGACTTGCTTTTGCGATAAAGCTCTTAGATTACCTTTGACCTCTGTGGAGCTCATTGTGTTTGACCTTTGTAAATGTGAAGCCCTTTGACCTGAGCGGGACTTGGATTGTTTGCTTTATTGCACATCATCTGTTGGCCTAACATACAAGACTTGTGTTCAGAATGTGTGTGCATTTCTACAGACTCCACACCCAAGGGCAAACTCCTCCCCTGTAGCTGGATGCTCCACATGTAACGGGCACTCGTCTCCTTCCAACTGCGTAATCTTTGGACCTGTCGAGATATTTGCATAATAATAAAAATGTGTGTAGACAATGATACTGAAGACGATGATGATAATGAAAACAATGATGAGAATAGAGAGCTTTCAATTGCATGACGACAGTAGGACGTACAATGTAATGGCGTTACTAATAGTCATCTGCGCATGCGCGAGAACGTCAAGTTCTCCTTGTCGAGTGGATTCTAGGACGCATTTTGGCCAAATCTATGTATGCAGAGAACGTAGGACGGCCAGTAGAATGGTCATGCATGAGTGATTCAGTTCTCGCATTGTGTTGTCAAACAAATCGAAAGCTTCCTAATAAGAAATATGATGACACTGTGTGAAAATAATAAAAATGATAAAGATACTGATGATGAATATTGCTGCAGCTATGATGATTGTGATGAATACGATAGTGATTATGATGTGTAATGGTGATGATGATGCTGCTGATTATTGACACCTGTCATGTAACAAATAATTCACAAGATAGATTCATCTCTTTTATACTCTGTCAATAATATTTAAAATCTTCTACCTCTATTCATTAGCATACAACTCATTTTTATCCATTGTCACTGTACTGTATATATTGTATATTATTAATTTAACTGTTATTTATATATTTTTTGCACTGTATGTAAAGTTTTATATTTATAGTTGTCTTGTTATTTAATTTGTATGTACATTTTGTGCATTCTTAGGTCTGGAATAAAAATTTCATGTACTATGTTGTATGTGACAATGGAATCTGAAATCTTGATGATGCCGATAATAGACCTTTCCAGCGTGTCAAACTTAACAACTAGCCAATCAGAACAAGGCTACAAATATGAGCGCGTACTACAAATACACATGTTGTCCCACAAGCACATGTGCTTGCGTATGTTTTAACACTGTCGTTAATCTAAGGGGAGGGGCTTGGTGGAAAAGTCCATTGTGGTCTGAGGTGAGTTTACCTGCAGGACATCTCGGTAAGTCTTGCTTTGCAATAGTTGTAATCCTCTGGAAGTCGTCGTGACAAGCGTTGCAGAAGTGAGTGGTACCAAAACAAAAGAAGACAGCCACCGAACAACAATACCGACACTTGTACTCCAGGAAATCTGTGCCATGTTTTGGACACATCTAGAAAACAATAATAAATAAATAAATAATAATAAATAATAATAATAATAATAATAATAAATAGAAAGTTAACCATTTGTCCGGATGCTAAGTCTGCATTTATTATACTCTTTAGGCTCCCAGCCTTTAGAGTAGAGATTACTGTACATCTTAAAAACCAATACAAAGAGGTTCAACCTCATATAACATAACATAATATGAGGCTTGACTTCCCAAAACCACCAATCAGTGACTAAAAAATGAACATTGACTTTTTAATATATTCATATTCTGCACATTATAAGCTTTAAAATGATGGGTCATTTACTGGAATCGACTTGCTATTGCCAAAGTTACGAGTAAAAGTATTACAGCTTCTCTGTACTAAAGTATACAATACTGGCACATTCTTTGCTAAATACTCAGTTTAACATTTAGGGACAATACGCTGGTTTTGACATTGCAAGCTTCATGTAGTAATTTTTACTGTGAAAATAAGTCGAGGCTAATTTTACACCAATTCCTAATTCTGATTGGATATTATTGTCCTAATACAATCCATACATACAATAACATTCAATATGCATTATAAATTGATTGGTTTAAAGTAACAATAGCCACTGCCTATAATTTATGATTGAACAACAAAATTAACATTTGCCTTCAGCAAAGTGATAATTTTTTAATAAATAAGCCAACTCGTAGTTTGAACTCTACTAGAACATACTGTAGCCTCCTTCCATACAATATATTTTTTTTTTTTCAATTTGCATTCTTATTTACTGTATTACTGTATTGTATGGAAAATAAATGCATATTTGATTTGATTTGATTTTGAACTGCACATGCCCATATCAAGATCATTTGACATAAAAATTTGACTTACCTGAGCCCTTGATACATCTGAGCATCCGCCACAAACCAGCTCAGCAGGGTCATACTCTTGTACGCCACCCTGATCACACCTCGCCTCACCACCATAATAAGCTTTCTTACACTTGAAGCAAACATAGTAAGCATAGCGGTTGATGGCAAACCCAGCAGGGTCTTGATAGAAGCGAGCACCTGGCATTGTGATGGCCTCGCATTTATTCAAACCTTCGTACTCCAAGCGCATCAGAGCTTTTCGCTTAACATCTTGTTGAAGAGTTCTAATTGGCTCAAGCATAGCTTCCAACATTTTGTTCTCCATATCCACCTGGAAAAAACAACAGCACAAATGATTAGAAATTCTATGTAAACAAGATACAGGTGGCTAGTTCATTTACATAGATGTTTTCACTGATTTATATATGTGTTCATTGATTTTTATATGTGGTAAACAACAGAAAACTAAAAAATCGTGATTCTAATAGTGTGTATCACATATAAGGCCTGTGATGATGATGATAAAATATGATGGTGACATGACACAGTGTCTTTTGCCCATTCCCTATCCGGGCAAACCATTTTGTTTCTTTACTGTATTTATTTGCCAAATAATAATTATTATTATAAACATCGTTCGCAGTTTGTTTGAAAATTATTCTAAATACTTACTTTACAGATTGGACACAAGACGAAGCCAAAGGTGATGCGAGGTCCTACCCACCTCTTCTCAAGGACACGCAAGCAGCAGTGATAGTGGAACACATGGCCACACTCGAGCTGTGTGATTATAAGGAAAAAAAACCTCATGAATTGTTTGGTATTTTATATGCATAAGGTGTACAAGAAGTACAATGTAACCCTTCTGGTGGTGGATTCAGTGAGAGGTAAAAGGGGTGTTTCCCCCACCCCCACCACCCCTCGCAGCCAAAAAATCCTGGATAGGACACAGGTTGCTTTATTCAAAACAGAAATGTTCTACAATATATATACAAATATTTACATAAGTTAGATAGCTGTATGATTACTCTTATGGGCCAATGGCCTAACAGAAGTGAAACAAAAGCAGCTGAAAGATTGCCTGGAATTTATGCAAACACACTATGATATTATGCAAATGTTTAACAAAATATGCAAATGATTGCTTCAGATATTATAATAGTGAACCCACCTGGAGAGCAGGTGCACAGGATAAGGCTTCTGTAAAGCATACCATACACATATCATCTGAGTCTTGCTTAAGGGTGGGGTCACCGCTGCACCCCTGTAGGCATGCTAGATGTTTCTCTTCGCCCTTTATGCCCCCGCAGATGTGCTCACAGGAATGGACTTTCATACAAGCTGTTTCAGCATACCCCTGATAAAATTCAAATTCAAATAGTTTCTCATTGTTTATTGAACATCAATACAAGCTTTTTTTTTACCATTAAGAGGGGGGAGGGAGTCAGATAAGCCAATTAAGGTTTTGGATTGACCCAAAACTTAGCAATAACACAGTTAACTGTTAATATATAACAAAGTAAACACAAAAAAAGGAGAAAAAAAAACAGTATTCTCTGACTGGACACAAAGAAATAAAAACATAATTAAATGCTTCAATTACTCCTTGTATACTTATGTTTACATTTAAACAACTAGTCTATTAATAAACAACTGGTCTATTGATAAACACAGCATAAGGAGATAATATTATTAATAATAATAATAATAATAATAATAATAATAATAATAATAATAATAATAATAATAATAATAATAATAATAATAATATGTTTGTATTTTAGTTTACAAAGAGAGGTTGAAGGAGCAGCTTTTATATGTTGATGAAGGGAGTTCCAATATTGTAATATATTATAATAATAAGTTACAGGTTTATGTATAATTATAGCAAGGAAATATGAAATAAAATTGACAACTTTACATTCATTAATGGATTTCAGTAAACTTGTTAATGTTAGATATTGTTTATATATGATATGTAGCAAAAACATGTATTGGTTGAATATATATAACACACATATACTTTATCTGATTTGACTAATAATATGATTATCACTTACCTGGCAGTCATCGCAGATTGCAGCTGCTGTCCCCAAGCCCGATGCTTGACCTCCGCAGAATCTGCATGAACCACGACCTGCTGAACCGTGGCTGTTACCTGTACTCCCTTTAATATAAATTATTGAAAATATAATGTAATTCATTTATTACCAAATTAAATAATAATGTAGCATTACATATTGATCTGAAGTGAAATTATATAGTGATCAAATTTATATATGATGTCAGCAGTGGATTCAAGGGGAGGGGCTGCAGCCAGCCCAGGCCCCCTTCCTGAATGTTTCAAAAATTATTTTTAAAAAATAGAGAAAAAGAAGACTATGTTCAAATTTATGTATGATAGTGGCATTTCTGAATATCTACAGGTGCCATAATCTTTATTTTTTTCAGCCTCAACCATGGTGGTCTGAAGAAGGTAGACTCTCTATCTGTGAATGTCCCTCCATTGCCTCTTTCTCCACCAATGTATCTAAATTAGGTAATATTCCAACCTTTCCTAATTTTAAATATAAACCAAATATGGAGAATCTAGCAAAGAGCCATGCTTTTACATGGAAGAAGTCCCACTAATTAGCATAAGGAATACCTGATTCTTTGAAGTCAACCATTGCCTTCAAGGTCTTGGAGTCAGCTAAGATCATAACCCAGAACAGCTTACTTCTGCCACACCCCTCATGGAGGTCAATCTTAATAGCTTCCTCTTCTTCCTTAAAAACCTACAATTAAAGAAAATATTAATTACACTTTATGGGCTTTCCTCCTATATAAACGATATCACCCTCTTTAATTTCTTTTGCTGATACTAAAGGAATTACAGATGATTGCAGTTTTTATTTTTTTTACATTTTAAAATTGTATTTTCAAATGATGCTGTACACCAAATAAACTCAATTATTTGCTGTATTTTTTGCTCCATAATATATAAATAAGCAAATGGTAAATGAATGAATCAGAAAATCATTAATACCATTAATTGATTAAGTACAAAGCATCTATTAATAATAGACTGATTTACCTATTTTCTTTTGAATAAAAACTGTTGTGTGCCCATATATAGTCATAATGTGCCTATATATGGTCATGATGTGATTCATCATGACCGCATTTAGGAATGTCATGTTTTTGTTTAATCCAGACAGGGGTTAAGAGTGGAATATTGAGCGAAGTGTATAAATACGATACCTGTCTTTGATGTGATCTGGTTCGGCTGTGAAGATGCAGGAACTTATCACAATCGGCACAAAGGTTCCCACATTGGTTGCAGCTTACAATCGCTGGCGTCTCGCTGTCATCGTGGTTGTCACAGAGAGGCTGCAAAATGAATGAACCATGGTTACATATTAATAAATTATACAGTAACAGATGTTTTAAAGATCATGCGCAATTCCACCTATGTGTTTTTTGTTTGGTTTTTTGTCATGTTTTTCCTTGTTTTGTTTAGAATAGTTTACTGTAGTTTTAAGTTTAGCTCCGGGGCCACCTTACAGGCTTTTGCCTCCTCAGTTGCCAGCACTTGTTAGAAATAAGTGAATAAAGTGAAGTAATAAAGAAACATTACCTTGTGCTTGGCTGCCTGTCCGTCTTTCTTGCTTAATTCACTTGAGGAAAGTCTCTCCACGTGCTCTTGCTCAAGAACACACAGACTAGCCAATGACAACCACAGCTGAGGACAAAATCATATCAAGTATAATTAGCATAAGATACTTTTTCAGAGTCTCGGTTTAGCTTACCGTAGCTTTTGTTGTCTTCTCAACAGCGTCAAGTAGAAGTGGTTGGCGCATCGATTGTGGCTTGGACTCCCAACCTTGAGGTAAGGGGTTAGAAACTCTCGCTGTGCAAGTCACTTGTGTCCTTGGGCAAGGCATTTATTTACGTTTGTGTCTCTCTACCCAGGATCATATGATTCTATAATTTTTAAGGGTGTTTCAGCAAAGTATTCATATTCAACACTGAAGAATGAATATTCAGTTTAAAATTATAATAACATTTTAAGCGATACAGTGTAGGGAAATTTTTAGCATTTACCGTGTGCGTCTTGAGGCATTCAGCAGGAACTCGTTTGGACTCTTCTATTCTTGTGAGGGCAAGTAACGCCTCTGCAACAGCTGCCTTACACACACTAGCCCATAGGTCTCCTAGTTTCCCCTGTAAAGATAATCGAATGGGTTATATATATAGTTACTATGACTCTTCTACTTTATTGACAAGCTGCTGTTTTATAAAAAAGCGAGTGTAATTACACCTACCAGGTACCCACTATACTGCTCTCTCCACCCAGGAATATAAATGGGTAGCTGCTAAGACTGAACACCAAATACACAAATTATAATCATGGGATACTCCACAGGGAGATAAGTTTGTGTGCAATAGTTAATTGATCCATGAAACATATAGAGCCTTGCATAACATGATGTGTTATATGAAACATATTATTGAGTTAAATGGATTACAGACTATGTCAACCAACGACAGTTTACACAAGAACTTCTGCAGCATCATTTCTGAACAACGTAGAATTTGGTTAAAAGTTTATTGGAGATGGATTACCATAGCGATATCCTTGATCAATGTTATGGTGCTCTCAGCGATACCATGTGACATCACACCTCTGATCCACCATCTCTTGTTTCCAGCAGTCTCCTCAGTTCCATTACTGAAAATTAGTTCAATAATAATAATAATAATAATAATAATAATAATAATAATAATAATAATAATAATAATGTTACTAATACCTAACTTAAGTGGAAATTAGACAATGGAGAAGTTAGAGAACAATTGAAAAAAATGATGTTATGGGGAAAATAACAACAACAATAATAATAATAATAATAATAATAATAATAATAATAATAATAATAATAATAATAATAATATCTGTCATAACCTCTATGCGCATCACAACATAAAATAGCAAAGAAAAAAAAAAAATTAATATTTACTATTATTATGATCCACTGAAAAACACACCTGCACCAATCCCGCCCATCCCTAGCAGAAAGCTAGAAATCTTTAACTAAGTACGTAATCATTTAGATAAGGAGATTAAAATGGCAAAAACTTTAGAACTTCCAGAAGAAATAGTCCCATGGATCCCAAATATAGGAAGAGAAGCTCCTCCCCCAAACAAGATAATGGTCTTAACTGTCACTCTGTGCCCTCCTGCCAAAAACAATGGGCATATTTGACTGGTTTATTTTATTGACTACTATTTTTCGTTGAGTATTATTTTCATTCGACTGGTTCGTAAAATAGACTTTAACTTAAACCAGGGTGCATTAATCAGTGTTAAGTTATCCATGTGGCCAAAGCAAACATGGCCGATTGGTCAGATTAGCAACAACATTTGCGTTAATATAATTTTAAGATTTTTAGATAAATTTTAGATTAAATTTCAGAAAATAAAAATTATAATATTTACTCACATAAGTCAAAAAATAATTGTAGGTTAACAGAATTCAAAAACTGGATGAAAACATTTTTTTACGAAAAACCCATACTGCCACAATCCGAAGCAGCCTTGATTACGCAGCGTGTATCGCGGTAACTATGCAGCCATTTTGTTTTGTTGAGTATCTAACAGTTTTCTATTTGACTGGTCGTCTTCGTTAAATAGGATTTTACCATTGCGCAGGTGGGCGTAGCTTAACGAAGAACGACCAGTCGAATACAGCCAATTTTGATATAATTATGTGCATAAAAAAACATGTTTTTTTAACTCACATATTGGTTGAGGCTAGTGTGATAGATTGGACTAGCTTCCCACTACCAGCACCTTTCATCTTGGTCTGCACTGTCAAAGCTTTTGTGATCACTGCAAGGAACACCTCCAGCACGCCCAGAGTTTCCTCTTCCTCCTCTGAAGCTTTAGGCTTCTCTGCGGATGATGTGATGCAGTTGATGTCCATTATCGGGAGAGTGGAGCCAGTGATGGAAGCAAAGCGACTGGGGGTTATTTCTGGTAGAACTTTACGCAGGATGGCTGTTACCTACAGAGGTACAAACACATTTTATTATTATTGTATTATCGGTAAACATAACTTCTTATTCATAAAATAATGTCCAACACAGTGTATGTAGCTATATATATTTAACACACTGTGCTTTTCATCAGGTGCTACTTATTGTAGGCCAGAAAAAGACAACATCAGAACACATACCTGTCTTTGTACTCTTGGAGAACCAGTATGCAGCAGGGAGAGAAGGTCTTGCACAAGACTAGCCTTCTGGGCAACATATGCCCTACCGACACTAGAACCACTAAGGGCGAGGACCATGGAGAGTAATTCAAAGCAGTAAGCATCCGCAGATGAGGCAGGCTGCTGCTCCGGTGGGGACTGACCCGTCTGCTTAGTGAGGCTAAACTCCCATTCCTCTCTGGTTTTTGTTGTCTCTTTGTGGATGGCTTGGACAATGTGACTGCAGACTTGCTTCTGGAGGTTGGTAAGCTTGCTGTTACTGAAAAGGATGCCTACCATGTGTTCTTTGAGGTCTGGATCTCCACTGTCCTGATTTAAAAAAAAAAAAAAAAAAAAAAATTTAATAAGTACAAATTCATTAGCTGCAGTTTTGCACTAGTATATCAAGGCAGAGCAAAAAGCTTACTAACCCCTACAGTTTTCTACCCACCCCCCAAATGGAAATGCCTGAAGTAAATATTTTTTAGCTCATGAAAATCACCTCATCACTTTTTGTGAGGTAGCACCAACTCACTTAATCATGGAGCTCCCCCCTCACTTTTATATCATCCATCATCAGCTCCCCCATTTCAAAACTCCTAGATACGCCCCTCATTTTCAGCTGAGTCAATATTATTTAAATATGAATCAATATTGAAGACATTTACTTGTTTTGTTCTTGAGCTTTCTTTGTTCTTGCCGTTCTTGACCATGTCCTCTGCCAGTAGCTTGCCAAAAACCTGCGAGGTCAGGAGTCGAAATACTCTTAAGGTTTCAGCCTCACAATTTTTCTGCTGTGCAACCAAAGCTGACACTTGACCTGATAAAATGAGGAAAGGAACAAATATATTAAAAAACACACACAAAATAAATGGAAAGACGAGATATATTTTTAAAAAAAGACACACAAAAAAGGATGGAAAAAACATATAGGCCTATTAAAAAAAACATAAAAAAGAATGGAAAAGAACAGATTATATAAAAGAAAACACAAAAAAAGAATGGAAAAGTATGGTTAGTATCACAGAAGAAATGGGATTTAAGGAGCTTTTTTTTTATATTTAGTGAGTGTTTGATATATATTGGAATCTGATACATGAGGGAAAATAAAGTATTATTACTGACAGATGGAAGAAGAAATATTTCTTAACAAAAATAAAGAAATTTTCAAACTTGAGAACTGACCTAAGTTGATACTAGTTCCTTCTTGGTAACCTAAGAATTTGACCTGACGAACCCTGACATGATTATCAGGTCCTTTAAGGGTGATCTTGACAAAAGTGAGGTCAAGGTTCATGAGGTCACATGATATCCAACCTGAATGGCGAAGATCAAGTGGTGTTTGTTGTACTGTCATCAGGTCCTCTGCACTACTACCACCCTGAAACATGACCTGTGTTATTTTGTTCTAAAAAAAAAAAAAAAAATATTTTGTTAATATTAAAAGGTGAGAGGACCACAAATATAAACTAACATAAATATAAATTTATAAATTTTATGCTAGTAAGGGGCCATTCACAATTAACACATCCATGAACGTACAACCAGTATTCTGTAAGGAGGGTGTATGCCCATATATAGTCATGATCTGCATATATATGGTCATGATGTGATGACATCATGACCATATTAAGGCATGTCAAATAAAATATGATAGTCTGGACAGGACTTTGTAGATGTGTGAAAATGCTGGATTCAAATTATTCAAATGCTTCATTGTGCAAACAAAGCTCATTGTTAAAGAAACATTATTTATGAGAGAGTGTTTTGAGAGCATAGAGCTATTAAACAACTAGAGTGCTGACAAGATGGCGAAGCAATGTAGAGTTATGCATGTGTACCATCCAAGATGGCCGCCATAGGAAAGCGCCACCTTCAGGCTAAGTATACATATTATTACCATAAATAAGCCCTCTGACCGACTATTATTTCATTAATGATAATTAGTATTGATAATAACAAATTATTAAACTATCGTAGCCAAAAAGAGGCCAAGTAGAGCATCTTATATAAAAATAAAATAAAAATAATATCGTGTACATTACATCTATACACCGCAACGCTCGAGTTTAAAACATACAGGAAACTAGCAGTACTGAACTTTCTGTGTAAATTGAGGGCGCCATTGAAAATGATAGTGCTCAGGCTAAATTTGATTGGCTGAATCTATGGCAGCCATCTGCTATAGATACTCTGCGTATTTCGAACATCGAATACATTGCAGTTAGCGCTCTAGTATTCTTATTATATCTCTATGGTTGAGAGTAACTTGAATTTAAGCCCTCTGGCTAAAAGGTCAGTGATGAAAAAATGATCTTCATGGTTCAGCAGACACATTAGCTAAACTGTTCTCAATTCATTCTATAAAATTTGACACTTACAGCAAGATCTCTGGAGTTATCGATGTGGAGCATTGCCATTCGTCCTACAAGACCTTTGGGGATTCCCAGACTAATCCACTTGGTCTTGTTCCGGTCTTCATCTCCAGACTCCCAGAAGGTTTCTGTGGCACCATCAGTCAAACTGGAACACATTGATACTCTGCTGGACACACGGACCTCTACCAGATGTGTCAAATCCTTAAGGAGCTCTACCATGGCAGAATTCTAGTGAAGAAAAAGAAATTGGCTAAATTTGTATGTCATCAATTTAAGATTCAACGATTATATAACTAACGGCAGATCCAGTTCTATATATATAACCAAATACAAACAGCACAATGCGCTGAATAAAAAAAATTTTTAGCAACTTGTGATGTTATTTACAGACATTTATACATTAATACCTGTGCATTTTTTTCAACTGCTGTTCCATTAATTGCTAGACCTCCCTCATCTACTTCTCCTTCAGCCTTGGACAGGATTTTATTGATATTACTAAACACATGTGAATGATGGAGGAATATGTGGTCAGCCGGTTGGAAGCGCAGGCACCAGCACCTCATCGCCATCTGCTGGAGAGCACTACCAATTGGCAGCTGCATCATCATGTCAGAGATAGTTTGCAGGAGTGTATGGAATGCAGTTGGTAAAGGATTGACAGCATCACCAGCTATGATGATGTCTGACAGTGGATGCTCGCACATAATGTTGTCTTTCTCCTTAAAATAAAGAAGAAAAAAATATATATTATATTTGAAACTATGTATATATAAGCATTTAAAAAAAGGATGATTATCCCAAAATTCCCATAAATTATCATACAAATACATTAATATTTAGAAAAATGAAAAAGCAGAGAGTAAGATTAAGTACTTGGTCTTGTTCTTTGGGAACATTCTTCTCCTTTTCCTCGCCTTCTTCATCCTTTTCCGTTGGAGCAGGTGCCAATCCAACTACAAAGTGCCAGAGTAGGTCATGAAGGCAGGTTAGCTGAGTCACACTACGCAGGAGCCAGTTAAATGCCTTGAAAAAAAAAATATATAAAAATTAGAAAAACATGAAATTATTATTGCAAGTTTGGCAATTCTGGTTGTGAGCTACCAAATCTAAGAATAAAATGGGCCTAATAATCTATACAGAGGTGTGAGAAATCTGTTGTCAATGTAGAGGGGCTAGTAAATCATGCAGAAGTACAAGTATACAATGAGGTAGTATTCTGTAGGGGCTATTAGTTTATGAAAAGGAGCTAGTGGTCTGTGTAAAGGGGCTAGTAATTTACGAAACAGGGGCCAGTGAAATATGAACATGGGCCAGTGATACATGAACAAGAGCCAGTGATATATGAACAGAGCCAGTGATCAGTGGTGGATCCACAGGGAGTGAATAGGGTGGCTAGCCACCATGTCCCCTTCTGTTACCTTTAAACAAATGATCACTTGTCTTGTGTGTGTTTCTTGTGAATACATGTTGTGTGTAGAATAGAAGGCTACCCTGTAAAACATATACCTCTTATTTTAAGCTTTTCAGGGCATCTAGCTGTCTACTAATATAAAAAAAAAAATCTAAAATGTGAGGGGAATTAAGTCTCCCTCCCAAAAACCACTGCCCCCACCCCGATTTTGGTGCTTCGCACCTTGCATTATTCACTCCCCTTTGCGAAATAATAGATCCGCCACTGGGGATATATGAACTGGGCTAGTGATCTGTACACAGAGCTAGTGGTATAGTACAGGGGCTAGTAATTATGAACCAGGGCTAGTGATCTATGTACAGAGGCAAGTGATGAGTGTACCTGTAAAGCATACACTCTGCAAGATGCTTTCCGGACTGCTTGCCGCATAGCGAGTCTGAGGCCTTCAAGGTCGTGTCGGTGGGCAATAAAGTTCATAACTGGACGATGCAGAGCTCTACAGTTCCGTGGACCGTTGTCCATGAGTTTGGCCAGCAGAACTGACGGACGACGCAGCAAAGATGATCCACTTTCAGAAGCTGCAAAACCAAATATCATTATTTTTAATCATGCCCCTTAAGATGACATTTTACACCAAAATAAGTGCATACCACTTTCAGATCTTTAAATCAAATTTGACAGTGTGGACAGAGCTTTATATCAACTTTGATAGTGTGGACAGATCTTTAAATCTAATTTGAGTATTATTTCTGGTTTTAATGTATACTATATATTGTGTTTACAAGAAGGAAATCTAGGGAAGAGAAATACACATGTTGAGCTAGACCATTATGTTCTTTTGACACCTTCTGCCATATTATCTACAAGGACATTTTTCACTCTCACCTGAAGAGTTGCCACTGTTGATCCGTCGCCTCACTTTCGTCTTTCCGTCGTACTGTTCACCTGACGTGGTCATGGAAATTGAGCGGACATACATAACACGATTCACTGAATCCTGATCAGCCAATGAACTTGTTGAGATAGAATGCTGTGGTGGGCCAAATGCAATATTACCTACAAAGGATAAAGCATATGATACTAAGTTTGGTATGGGGAAAACTAATACTAGTGATAATAATGAAAAATAATACAACATGTACAATAAATGACTCAATTATATTTGTTTTCAGCTACAGTATTGTGGTCAAAGATTATAGCTATACTGTAGCTATTTATAATTAATATTGCTAGAGTTATTGTGATTATAATTATATTTGTTATAACTGGTTTTAATTGTATATTTATAGTTTTATTGGTTGTATTTGAGACATCAGTTACTAAAAATATTGCTATTTGCTGGTCTATTGTATTTTCTCTAACCTCATTGCCATCCAGGTTATATTACTGTATATGAAAACACAAAGCAAAAACCATACCTAGTTGTCTGTCTTCAGTTGATAGCGCCTCTAGCAAGGGATTGACATCTTCACCTGCAACGTGGAATGCCTTACCAGAATTATCTGCCATATCTTGATCTCTCTGCTGTCCTCCCATCAGATCCAAGAACTTGAAAGGCACAAGAGGAAAATGTGGCTGTTGTAACGATGGTTGATCTATTTCACTGACACTGGGAAGCTCAAACCGGGTCATTCGGTGCATAGACTTGGTGCCCCCAGATGAAGACGTTCCAGCAGAACTGGCAAGATCCAGTAAGAACATAGCGTTTGCTTTCATGACATTATGTGCTTCAAGTGGTGGTAATACTTTAGGTGTTTTAAGTGGAAGCGGTTTTACTTTTAGCTTTTTAATTTTCTCTTTCGCTTTTTCTTGTCTTTCTTTCACATACTTTTCCTTGCATTTGTCGCACATCAGATACCAGCTGCTACCACCGATTCCACCATCACCGCAATTACCAGCCCATCCTCCACAATAGTGCCCACTGCTATTATAGCCCTGGCCTCCGGCATGCTTCCCACATCCAGGATGATTTTGCTTCATGTGGTAGGTTACTGGATGTGGGAAGAATCCGTGACAGAGATCACATGTTGCATCTTGGTCAGATCCTCCAGCAGGAATCCCGGCAGCTTCTCCAAATAAGTTCCCTCTGCCACCTCTAATGGATTTCTTCTCTTTCTTCTTTCCTTTTGAATCCTTTTCTTTCTCTCTTTCACGTCTCTCAACTCTACCCTTGGATTTTGTGATTGGAGCTGGGCTTGGTAAAACCAGTTTCTGTGAAGCAACATTCACTGTTGCAGATGTCAACTCTTCCCAGAAGCTCAGGAGATATTGCAGTGTCAATGGTAGAGCTGACTCAGTCTCAGCCCCAGCCTTCTTTTCAACTTTGGTCTTTCCAGACTCTAAGCTTGCACTCTTGTGAAGGTCTTCTGGGCCAGCACTTGAAGACCTTGCTCTTATGTCATCATTTAGAGATGCTTTCACTTCAAGTGGAATTCTATCTTTCTGCCAGGCAGCAGATTTGAGTGTCTCTTCTAAAGAACGTGCAGCAGTTGAGATGTGATCAGATGACTTGGATCTTATTTCAGATATTGATACTGGTTTGTCTGAACTTTTGCCATCCTTAGCTTGTGATGGCATTTCATTTTTATTGGATGTGAGCTCAATTGTTCCCATAGTAGCTAAGAAAGAACCATCTTGAATTGCTTTGGATAAATCCATTGAGTGCCTATTTTTGATTTTTGAGTTCCTATCAATGTCCTGTTTGTCTTGCTCTCGTTGAGCGGCTTGTTTCGTCAATCCAGGGTTAAATTTCAAGTAAGAAGCGCATGCCATTGCATCGTGAACAATACCCTCGTGCCAAAGAAATGCGGCAAAAACAGCTCTTACACATTCGGCAACAGAGGGCGCTATAGCTTGCCTTGCAACGTCTTTAACCTCGGTTCTTTTTGCTCCTCTTGACCTTGCTGGTGAGCGATCTTTTCCAGATGGGGAGGATGTCCGTTCTCTTCTAGAATACTGTGATCTTGCTTTCCGCACCATCTTAGGTGATCCTTGCATTTTTGGAGAGGATGGGTTGGAACCAGTACCAATACTGAAATGTCCATCAAGAGTTCTGGTGAGTGATGATGACCTACTAGCAGGGGATGAATCTCTACTTGCCACTCTAACAGGGCTACTAGTTCCAGATTGGCGATTTGAAGCTTCTGTCTCCCTTTGCAATCTTCCCGGGGAACTTGCTCTCATCTTTGAGAAACGAGACTCAATCTTTTGAGAGGAGACTAATCGTGAAGATGGCTTGTCTGTCTTCTTTATGTCTGTTTCTCCACATTCATCCTCAGATTTCTGTAGCTTATCTTCCAGAAAAACTTTACCTTCAAATTCTTCACTCCAAGACTTGGTCATAAATGGGCCGCCACCACCAAACACAAACGGCTCAACTTTAGGGACCTCATGAACCTCTGAAAAAATGGAAACATAAAATAGATTTAAAACTTTGACAGTTTTAGTGTTGTTGTAGTCATTTAAGTATAACAGAAAGACAAGTTCAATACATTGTATTATAAATATATTGTATTGTAAATACTGAAAAGACTTAATCATTACGATATACTTCAGAGCATTTTAGCAGCATTACAAATTGGCTTTGTATATTTTGTTATTCTGATTATTCTAACTCCAGTAAGTACATCAATTGAATTTCTAATTCACCACATTAAATCATCAAAAGAAAGACAAACCTTGCATGTTAAATTTGAATGCAGGGTGTGTGAGGGCATTCTTAAAGTCAAACCCTGATGTCTTACTGGATGGCAGACTTCCTCCATTGATCTTGAATAAATTCTGCGTGCCAAGGATCTCGCTACCATCCTTCTTCATCATCTCTGAATTTAAAGCCTTCTCGTGCACAAGGTACAAAATCCCTTTGCCTTTGGCAAGTGCCCACGCCTCACCCTCAATGCTGTCACAGTACCGAGACATACTGTCCTCATCCAGCTTCACCCACAAGCATCCGTCATGTCGCTTTACCTTCAAAGAAATACAATTTTCATTAATTTACCTACTAAAGAGAACCTGGGTTAAAACTGTAGTCCTACAGATAAATGTGCAACCAAATTATTCTGTAAAACTATACTGTACAACTGTTGTACTGATTAGTCAGTACAACTCACATCACAAACTAACAAAATGGAAATAGATTGTTTTAGTTCGTGAAAACAAAAACAGCGCATTAAAATAAGCGCTGTTGTCGTTACAGACTTTTGTGTGGTAAACAACAGAAAAGTGCTTGAAAATCAATACGCACTTATTTTGACTCTATTTTTGTTTTCATGAAATTGTGCTATTTCATGATTTGAGCGACGAGTTGTTTAGTTTAAATGACACTCTGGGAAAACCACTTTTAATTGCAGGTGTACTTCCAACTACAACACAGGTACAGGTGTACTTACCTGGACGACGTTCAGATGGTTGCCCTGTACCATCATTCCAATAGGTATGTCCTTCAGACTTGGTCCGCAGCGTATGTTATGGCCTGAGGCACCGCAATGGATCACATGGTATACACCACGCTCAGCTGTAAGCAGAAAAAAAAATTAAACAAATCTGTAGTGATGTTGTTAGTCTATAAGTGAGATACTTAACCTGTTTTCCATTAGGCAAACTTATTTATGGGAATCGAAAGCGTCGGTTTGCTTAATGAGCTCTGATTGGTTGCGCAGTTTTTCGCTTGGCAAAAAGTAGAAACAGTTCTAACTACCAATTTCACTGACGCGACAAACTCCAATAGAATGTGAATGTGCATGAACGGACGCTTTCAATTCGCACAAACAAATTCGCCTAGTGGAAAAGAGGCTTTACCTGTATAAACCGATACAGTATATACCTAAGTTTACTTTGAAACTTAATTCGCGAGCATAAAAGAATCACCTAGCTCACTTATACACCTGCGCGAATGAACAATATCCTTAAGGACAAGCATTGCAAACTGTATGATGCTGGTAATTTCAAACTCCATAAAGATGATGATGATGACGAATTTCATGATGAGGATGATGAAGACAACAAAATCAACAACCTAAAGATGTTAGCTGACTTACCAACAATGTTGCCAGCAATGCTTCCTAAAGCTTTGCTTTTGTCTGCCTTCTTTTCTTGACCTTTCTTCTGATCTTCTATATTTTCCTTATTTTCTTCCTTTTTCAGAGTTTTTGATTCCTATTGGTATGAATAATTATTATTGTATCATAATCAAAATCATCATCACTCTGCTGCTACCAGTACTAATATCAGTGGGCTTGAATACCCTAGTGGTTAAAATTCTTGCATTTTAATTCCACGGTTCTGGGTTCAATTCCTGCCACAACAAGAATTTTTCTTACAAGTCTAGTCCCTAAGCCTTCTAAAGAGACTTGGTTTATAAAGCATCATTCTCATCCTGTAAGTGGCAAGCGTACTTGCTGTTGGAAGGAAATAAATAAAAAATAAATAAATCATCACGACCACCTTTCACCACCAAATGCAACCCTCACCACCACTTATGTCAAGAACCACCACCAATCTAATCACTACATCTCAATCATTCATTGTTCATGGCCAATCACCACTCATCCCAATGTACTCCTCTATCCACACTAATATTTTGGATGGTTAAATGATTGGTCGGTTATAATATCATCTTCATTTCTATGGTCTGTTATTTGGCTTAACTTACATCAACAGGTATAAGGAACGTCTTTCCAATATGTTGATTAAACTGCATACACCAACCTTCACGGAAACCATTCGTGCCGCAGAATCGATGAATACTATCTTTGTTCAAACGAACCCAAACGCCATCTTCATTCTGAATCTGCAATAACAATTATCAATGATCAATCAATCAATCGTTAATTTAGCTGACAAAGAACACGAGGCAAAATATTTGAAATGAAAAGTATTGAGAAAAATATACAACACAAAAAATAAAATAACAAATACAATACGCTTCTCTTCTTGTATTTAATTATGTCTAAATTTTACCTCTAGATTCAATTATATACATTGTATATCAATCAAGAATAGAAAAATAATAGAAGGACAACTAAAAACTTACCTCATCAACATATGTGATAATGCCATTTACATCAATCTTGCCAATTTGTTCACTTTGTAAAGAAGGACTTCTGCGTATTCGTAGTCCACTACTGAACTTTGCAACAAACTGTCGTGTCTAAAGGAAAAATCATTAGAAAAGGCATAGATTACAGTAAGGATGAAATGCGGATAACATGTGGTAGTCAGCATGTATATGCGGTTTTCCGAAATGGCCAGTTCTATTACTTATTTTTAACAATATCCTACCTTATTTGGTTGTGATTGGGTTTTCTTTACAGGAGGGGGAGCTACCACACCCTGGGGAGGTTCCCCAACTTCAACCTTTGGAACATCCTCTGTAAAACAAGTATTGATGATTAGAAAGTGACGGTAATAAAATGAAGACAATAAAAGTGATAACATTAAAAGTGAAAAGATAATAAAGTAATGAACTTTATAGTGATAATAATAAAAGTGATGAATAACATAAAAAAGATAACAATGTAAAGAATATTATAAAGTGATGTAAAAAAAGTGTTGATAATAGTGAATATTAAAATGAGACCAATAATGTGAGGATTAGTGAGGATTATAATAAGTGATAATAATAATGATGATGATAAAAGTTAATATCCAACAAAAATCTCTTACCCATTGGGTAGCCATCAATGGTGAAGTGAATTGCATAGAGTCCCGATAGGCCTGGCGTCCAATGCGCGCTGAAGCTACCATCATTATTAGCTCGTACAAGCATACTCTCACTAGGCCTACAAGGTAATTAAACATTTCCATATTAATAATATAATAATAATACACTATATATGTTCTTAATATAGCACCCTATAATAATCTCTCAGATGCTTCCTTAATAAATATTGGGAGTTAGTCCCATAATAATGGTAGACTGGCAGAAAAAGATCGAAAGCCATAATTTATTTTAAATTTTACTGGTGTAAGAAGCATGCGAGAAGAGGATCTAAGTAAACGACCATACTGGTAAGGAACTACAAGTTTAGATAATAAAAAAAAACAATTAACAATATCATTCATCAAAGATGACTGACTTTGTACTAGTCTCTGTTTCAAACTGTTGTTTGCATTGGGCTTTAGTATTGCTTTGCTTTGTATATTATAATATTACCCTTTGAATGATATCTCTATATAACGCCGTCAAATGTGCCTACATTATGCAAATTACCTTTTCGCTGGCAAGTGGGCAAATCTTAATTCTTCAAACGAGTAGTTTTCATATTCTTTCATCATAGTGATGGAATTGTATGCCATGCTGTCCTTGCGAATCACCGGTTCAAAGGATGTATCGACTTGTGGCGTGGGATGACCTCCGAAGGTCATATCTTTTTCACCCTTCCTGTTAGGCTTCATAGACTGGGAATCAAGATGGTGATCCTGTTTGCCGAGTGGGACAGCCTCTGCTTCCACCTTTAACATAAAATACAAAGTGTTTATTCCTCTGGCTAATCATCACGAAAATGCTTTGTAAACGGAGAGGCATACTGCCGGCTAAACAAATGCTGCCTATAAAATATGCAATTAAGGCCCTGTAATCACAACATTAATAATATTTTGTATAATTCTAATTAAAAAACAAGATACAAATATATTTGATTCTACATATATCAGATTTTTTTTACGAACAAAGCTCAGATTGTTTAGGTCGATGTTGCATTACCTTGAGGTGTGGGACGTGCACCAGGATACCGTATTGATCATGTGTTTTAAGCGTAATCACAGTTGCTTTACGACATTTCAACTCGTCACGTTGATAAATTATATCGCATTGCTTCGGTTCTACATACGATTCTGGTTGAAACCACCTACATGAAAGAAACAAGGAAAAGTAATTTTATTATAAAATACACGGTGTCTACAAATAGTATTTTTTCGTACCGAGCAAGCCTTTCATCAGTGTTGGTAAATGTAAATTGATCAGTCTTTTAAAAAATAGCAGGGGTGTATGCATGTATTCAGTAGGGCAGATGTTTATGTGACATATAAACACTCTTACTTAACACATTTTCCATCATTGTTATGTGTACAATGAGTGGTCTTAGAAAAATGGAAGGGGTGTTATGTATATAGATTTGTTGTTTGGTGTGTGCTTGTGTTATGCGACTATTTTGATGTTAAAAAATTCTTACCGAGCAAGTCTTCCACCACTACTGTTAGGTGTGCAGTGGACGTAGTCTTGTAGAAATGAGCGTTCATTATATTCGGTGTTAATTGGTAAGTTTCCACTGAGTGCTTGGTGGATAGTTGGAGGAGTTGCCAGTGCAAAGCCTTTAGACAGCAGCACAGAATGCAAATTAAATATCTGAAAATGATAAATATAAATTACTAATATAATAATAAACAGAGACGGAGCAAAAGATGTCCGAAAGTACAGTAGGTCAATGGGAGGGGGGAGGGATTCAATCACGAAACAACACTATTTTTTGCCAGATCAATTGATATTTGAATATCATTTATATGTATGATAAATAACAATAATTAAAAGCATGAAGGACAGTTATTAAAATGATTGATACCAATGATGATGATGATTGATACCAATGATGATGATGTCATAGACATGATGATATCATAGAAATAATGATGTCATATACATGATGAAGTCATAGATATGGTGATGATGCATATACATGATGATGTCATGAGTATAATTTTGACAACCTGTTGGGCTGCTTCAGTGATTGGTTCTGGTTCTTCCTCCGTTTCCTCCTCTTCCGGTGGTAAACTTAACTCTTTCTTCATCAATGATGATGCACACATTCCCCCAATGTGAGACAATTCTTTCTCAAGGTGAAGTAATCCCTACAGCAAAGTTTAATGTAAGATCAAAAATTATATATAACATCATCTATCTTAGCATTTTTGTCATTAAATATTAATTAATGCTATACAAGTTTAACAATATCAAATAATTTCTTTATTAAGCATGGATAATAATTGAAAAAATGATATAATAATTTTCGAATAATAAATTAAAATTGCATCAGCAGTAGTTTTGGGATTCGATTCTGTAAACAGCCACTTGAAAGCACATGGCGCTCATAAATACATATTAATGTTGTTGGATGACATTAAGTAGGTACAATATGTATTCCCTTTAACCTTGGCTCTTACCTGTCTTGGTTGTGTTGGCCATTCATAGCCCACTACAGCACACTTAAAGCCATACCGACTAGCCTTCTCATCTTTGACGTAATCAGAGGCGGTCTCCAGGGAGAAAACTACTTCATTACCTAGAAAGAAAATCAACAGTATTATTAAACAGATTTAAATACACATTATTTAATATACTAAGCACTTTGATTTAAAGGATAAAATGTCCATATTATGTTAAAATTTGTAATCAAGTTAAGTATATTAAACTGGTCAGTTTTTACTTAAACAGGAATTTATCTAAGCATATCTGAGCCAGAATGATATTGAAATTACAGGAAGGCCCTGCCCAGACCAATTTTATTTGACAAAACATGTGACATCACATCATGACTATATATGGGCATAAAAATAAAACAGAGCTTCATACTTCAAACATTTGACTTTAATTTATAATTTACTGACCTGGAAGAACGACGGAGTTTGTTGGCCAATTTGAATCACCATGGAAACGATTAAGTACAGGCCAATGTGTATTTTTTGGTTGCAGTTCATCTCCTTCTTTCACAGCAGGCTTAGGCTGCCCTCTAGCGGGGATGTAGAGCTGTACGCTATCCTCTTGTTGTGCTGTACCACATTGTTGATCAAACTCAAGGATCAACCACTTCACAGTGTCTGGATATTTCACCTGGAATTACAAGATTCAAAGATAACCATTCAAAGTTCAAAGTTCAAGTGAGGCCCTTCTGGTACCAGTGGCGAATTCGGCAGTACACAGGGAGACAATTCTTAACTCATTATTTAATAGTGTGCTGCGTTCTCTAACAATCTTAAAAGCCACATTGCACAAGAAACAAATGGCCTGAACATCTCTTCCGAAAGATGATTCGCTATTGAAACTTAAATTTCAGCCCTCAAGCTGGAATACAAAATCAGTGACTGCAACTGAAGCAGGAATCTAATCTAAACAAATTTATACGGTACAGTGCACATAATGGCTATTACCAGTTTAGCCACTTAGTTAAGATAAACAATGTAAAAATGATCCTCAACTCACTTTGTAATGAGACACAGTGGCAGGCTTATATGGATGATCACTCTCAACTACTGCATAATGGTTGGACGTTGTCACTGCATTGCTGTCGGTCATAATATCTCCTGATTGCCCATTGGCTGATGAGTAGTTAAGGGGAGGGTCTGTCTGAAGATTGACAGCAGTAACTAAAGGCAACAACTCCTTAACGAGACCCAGAACCTGAACAGCACTCTGAAAACAGAATAAAAATATGAAAATAATCATACAATTGTAGAGATGGACAAACACAGTGCCCTGTGGTTGTCGGCCGATGTGATTATCTAGGGAACGCAACTCCATGATGCATGCGCAATGGATCATTATTCTAAGCCTGGCCAGGCAAGGCGGGGCTTAGCCTCGGCCAGACCATGGGTGGGGTAGGCTAGGCCTAGGCTAGGCTAGGCCTAGGCTAGGCTGATGACAGCACACTGTGTCGCATTGGCTAGCACTTACAGGGAGCACAGTTGAATTTTTTGTGAGTGCCTGGCTTAAGAGCTGATGTGACAGTTTACAGGAGTTGTTATGCAACGGAGGCTCCATAAATTTGCTGACATCATGGAGTCCAAAAACAAACAGCCACCTAGATCCTCGGTCAATGTCTCACAAAAAAGTATCTGCGAGGTTGGGGTTGATGCAAGATATTTTATTGCTTAGGAGTGCATAATATTTGCTTTTAGATGACAATATTAGGGATTGGCAATTTCAATAACTTTGTTTGGATAGGCAAATTAACATTTTAGTACGACAACCGCGTCATGGTTCCGGGAATCAGGGAGTACATGGATGTCTGGCGGCACAATTTTCCCTCCTGACTCCCGCACTGGCGCCGCCACTGGTTGTACAAGCGTAGAGGAGGAATGGATGAATAACTTACTCTAGGATCCGATGAACCTACAGGAGTTGTATGAGCCAGGACAAGAGGAAGTAGGTGTGTGAACAGCTGAGATTCACCAAGTGTGCTGGCAACCTCTGACCCTGCAAGTATAATAATATTGTGTTAGTCTTACAAAGCACATCATGCCTACAAGTCCTCTATGTGCTTCACATTTAGATTATAAGAAACTATCAATATATCAATGCTGTAAATAAACTAATAATAATAATAATAATAACAATAATATAAATTAATCAATAAACTAATGTAATATAAAATGCAGTCCATTATATGCTAAACAATATTTTATGTCTATTGTTAAGCATTGTCCACACTATTATCTTTTCTTCGTCAAAAAACTGTTGTATGCCCATATATAGTCATGATGTGCCTATATATGGTCATTATGTGCCTATATATGGTCATGATGTGCGTATATATGGTCATGATGTGCCTATATATGGTCATGATGTGCGTATATATGGTCATGATGTGCCTATATATGGTCATGATGTGCCTATATATGGTCATGATGTGCCTATATATGGTCATGATGTGCCTATATATAGTCATGATGTTATGTGGTGTACACAAGATCATATTATTACCTTTTAGAGTTTCCTGAGCTCCCTGAAGCAGGTCACACGCTGTATGAACTATTGCACTTGTAACATAGAGGGCGTTTTTCCTGGCTTGGTATTCCATGTCCGCACTCTTAGTTTCTGGTCCAGACTTTTCACATTCCAATGCCGTGCTGTAGATGATATTGAAAAAGGTTATCTAATGAAGGTAGCCTCAAAACAGCGCTATGTTGATAATCATAGGTTCTCAGAAATAATATCACATCGAACCATAAAAGAAGGCCTGAAAAATCTCATTTACAACTTTTATAAAACATTAAAATAATTCTAAATACTGCCACCTGTAAGAATACAATACTACATAATACCCTTTATGACATTTTAATTACAGGTTCTTTGAAGCCAGGCTACAGAAGATAAAAATATTTTGATATATTCAATTGCACAACTTAATGGTGTTTAATCAAAAAAAGTCTGAAACGGTTAATACGATAATATTTAAAAACTGGGTGATAATGGGTGCCTGGCTTGAAAGTTGTACTTACTTGTAGTAGAGTATCTGTGGGATCTGGCCTCTTGTATGATTGGTTCCATTACTGCTAAGGACACATGATGTGAAAGTGAATGTTACTCCATCTGAGCACTTCACCGATGACATCCCATTGTCACCATTGACAGTGCGGCTGCCATGGTTACGTAGTCTCACAGCATACTTTACACCTTCCTGAGATTTGAGATAACAACATTATTATTACATCAGAGTCAAGATGAGAAAAACGTGGAAGGGAATAAAGTGAAAGAGGATGAGTTAGAAAATGAAGTTGAGGAGAATGAGGTGAAAGAGAAAGAAGTGAAAGAAGATGAGTTGGAAAACTGAGGTTGAGAAGAATGAGGTGCAAGAGAATCAAGTGAAAGAAGGTGAGGTTTGTGTGGATGAAGTGAAAAAGGAGATAGAAGACGACAATGCAGAAGAGGGTGTTGTGGAAGAAAAAAGATTAAGATGTAGAAGGGATTGAGGTGAAAGAGGATGACTTGGAGACATGAAATAGAGGAGATTGGGGTGGAAAAAAATGAGGTGGAAGAGAGTGAGGTGAAGAGACAGAAGTAAAAGAAGATGAGGTTTGTGTGGATGAGGAGGAAAAGTGGATAGAATTAGAGAAATAGAGGGTGCTGTGGAAGGAGAAAGAAAATGAAGCATTTAGATAAAATGGATGAAGGACCGAAAGAAAAAGACCACCAACACTAAGTTCAAAAAACGTAGCATGGCGTAATGGGGTTCGCATTAATGAAATTGTTTTCATTTCAGGTTAGAGCATTGCTTTTTATTTCCATTATCAAATCAAAATTGTAATGCATTATGTAAATATTGATACACAATCATTTGTAAAACAACCTTTGTGTGTCGTCACTTAAAAAAAAATAATAACACACCTTAATCTGTACTGGTTTTTCAAACTTGATTTCAGCGATATCATTGGTGCAATCATCAGGACAGTACATCCCCTTGATGAGTTCAAGAGTATTCCAACGATGACCATGTCCATCACCTCCCTCACTCTGAAGATAAAAACAACAAAAGTGATTGGTTAATAAAGATGATATAGCATTAGTGATTGGTTGAAGAAGAGAAAGATAGAAAGTGATTGGATAATCTTAAAATTCTTACATTGTCAAGAAGCTCCAGTTCATAATTGTATCTACTATGGCCGCCGTAGACACAGAATCCAGCAATGACGATACCTGGCTTATCCACGCTGAAACAAATGGCATCGGGTGTTCCGTTACCAGTGCTCCATCCACGAGCTTGGCTACAACGAGAGAACCTTGAGGGTGTCTTACACAGAGGTCGAGATGTAGCTTGATTTTCACTCTGGTAAGGAATAATATTTGCATATGTCTAGTGATAGAATGTAACTAACTTCTAGCATGTAAACAATGCAAGCAGGATATGAGGCTTGCCTTCCACAAACCAGCATACTGCCGCTGATTGTTAAAGTCAAACTTCGGAGGAAAACAATTTTTGGACATGTTGTACAACTGATTTTTCTAAGACTGAAACCAGAGCCTTGCAGGCGTCAAAGTTCCTATGCATGATACATGGCTTAAAAAGTATATAGGCCCTATATATATATATATACGTACATATATATACATATATATACACATATATATACGTATACACGTATATATGTATATACGTGCGCGTGTGCATATATACGCGTGTACATACATACGCGTGTGTATATATATACGCATGTATATTATACGTATATATATATACGTGTATATACCTACGTATATATATAATACGTATATATATTATGTATATATACGTGTATATATACGTATATATGTATACGTGTATATATATATATATATGTATACATAATATATATACGTGTATATATATACGTATATATATAAGTATAAATAAAATATGCGTGTGTATATATATACGCATGTATATTATACGTATATATATATATATATATACGTATATATGTTGGGTCAAATTTGTCACGGAGGTTGAAAAATACAGGGGGAGTCTTTATGGCCCAAAATAGTGATTTTAGTAATGTAATTCGACAGGCAAATTACAGTAATATTTTTAGAAAATGTCTTTGAAAAAATTTCGTAGGCATAGGGCCTAGGCCTAGCTAGGTATACAATAATTTCATTTTAAAATAGTTTGGAACGATATCAGGAGTGGGGGTGGTGGCAGTGGCCTACTAGGACTACAATTTATTTGAAGCTATCTTGGGTCTGATC